CCCACTTAAAGCAACAGTCCAGGCAGGGTTTCAACCATTTGGTTTTCAAGTGGTGGAAACATGCCTCAGCCTGATTGGAGTTCATGGGAAATGTCACAAACTTCAAAACGTACCTCTGAAAGGCGTTGGAAGCAGTCGAAATCCTTCGAGAGGGGCGGATCCACCGATCGTCTGCTGGTTGGGGGGTTTTGCCGGCCTCACAAGCCAGTTCTGGTGCAAGAAACACCTGTGCCGAGTGTTGCTAGTCGGTTGGTCCATAATATTACGATTGAAGCGCTTCAATTTACGATTGCTGGCAAATAGTTATGTATTTGCAAGCATGCATGGCTATTTGCCAGCAGTTGCAATTGGAGCGCATGTACTACGGGCAGGTTCGGACAACTCGTCCAACACACGTCTCCCTAAACGGCAGGGGGAGTCCCTGTCTAAGCCCCTGCCCGACGTTTTTTTCTACTTTTTCTTTCTCCATTGACCAACTTCTCACCTGCAACGTCATTATAGGTGGTCCTTACCCGCGAATTCGTTCCTGGATTGTTGCTTTAAGTGGTGAAGTAGCGCTGACTCGGGAAATTTCTTCATCGTGATGGTCCATCCTCCCTATCTGTTATGAAACGCTAATTCCTAACTCATTGCATAACAGCGGGCGCTAGAAAATGACGGTGAAGATTGAATGACTCAATGCCGAAAATATTTCCTGCATTATAGGAAAGCAATTTCAGATCGTGGTAGCCTACGTTACGAATGGCTTAAAAACAGGAATGGGTGAGCTCACGCGTACATATCGCCATTTACGTGATGCTGTCTTTGAATGTCTGGAGAAGTCAAAGGAGGACACTTTGTAGATCTGCATTCAAAATGATTCCAGAGTAACTTGTCTAGTCAACCAGAAATTATTCACACGGTTATTGTCTGTCCGATTTCTTCTACAGGACACACAAGAAAAGTAGGCGTCTTTCAAGTTGTCGTTTTGACCATAGTCTCACAATGTATTATAGTTTACCTGAGATCTGCCATATGTTTATCGAAACGTTTGAACCTTAGTTTCATATTATTTGAGTAGTTCATGACGCATTTCTTCATAATGTCAAATGATCATATCGCTTTAGTTATACGGTGCTTTTGCTGTCTAGACATCAATACAGCTTATGTACATACGTCCTTATATTATAGGCGTTGATTAAAGCGGTTGTTTCCTCTTAAAGTTTATCACCAATCAATCATAATTATTATATTAACAGATATTTGCAAATCAAAGAAACGAGACACCGTGTTTGTCGCCGTCTAAATCATGAGAATAAAACAGCGATGGAGATACCGCATAAATCAACAAAACTATTCATCCATATCATCTTCATCAAGTTTCGCATGAGCCCATTCTTCAGCAGCACTTACAACATCGGCCGGTACTGTCTGAACCACACAGCAATGAAATGTCTGAGCTCTCAAAAATAGTTATTATTACCAACCTGATGTTTTCCTTCGGTGTGTTCCCCCACCCATCCCAGTTCTATTTGCACGTCCTTATCCTGAAAAAGTCCCTTTAGTTGTTACGTCAAAGCCTTACAGTGCAAGTACAATTAAAGAGCAAAACAAGAAAAACCTAATACGTGAGAATATTTGAGTACATAATCCCTACCTTATTCTCATCGCGGATGGCCATGATGATCCGTGCAGCTTCTTTCACCCAATCTTTCATATCGTATTCTTCCAGTTTGAGTTTTTCGATTTCAGCCTAAAATTAGAACTACTTTATTGGAGACGAATATTCATCACAATATATATCAATAAGTCATCATATCGTCAACAGAATTACGACCAAATAAGTGCATGATAATCGAGCACTCGTACAAACCTTGGCGGCCTTGCCTATGTTTCCCTACAGCCCACGCTTTATATTCGTAGCAAAGTCCAGACGGCTCCACCAAAAACAATTTGCCACCATCCTGAATGAGAGTAATTCTTGAAAGAGTTCCAAATCATGAATTTCAGTTCTGGCGATATGCAGTTTCATTTGAAAATCCTAATAGTGAGCTGAGATTACGGTGCCAACTGACACGGTCGGAAAAAACAAGCCAAAAGTATTGGCGCAAAGAGGTAAGAAGCTGAGAAATAACTCTCGGAATGGGTGCGCGGATAGAGAATCTAAGTTAGCTGGAAGACTAAAGCAGGTGAGGAGAAAATTAAAGAAGCTTATGTTATCCACTCTCCACAGTTGCCTTTTCAACAGCTGAGAAATCGAATTAAAAAAAACAGCCACAGAAGTTTCTCAGAAGGGCCCCAAAAATCAAACGAGCAAACCTTCTCATTCCACGAAGTGAAAAAAGCCGATGCACCGAATGGTCGACTGATACCAAGCGTGAAGACATGGACATATTCAGCTAGCTGAAATAAATGAGGCCACGCGCAACGAGGTTCAAGAAAATACGCAGAAAAATAGAAATTAGAAAACAGTGCTTCGAACAAAACGTACCGCGTTGGCAAGTTTCTGGATTGGCATTGGTTGTCGATAGTCTTTGAGGTATTTCACAGCCTAAACAAGTTTATGAGAAAAATAAAACCCATGAAATGGTCATAAAACATACCTCGTTGCATGCGTAATCTTTCAGAGCTCGGCAATCAGGGTAAACCCCTGCCAGCGCGATTCCAATGTCTTCATTAGCGCTGAACATGCGCGGGTTCGCGTTCTGCAATTGATTCCATTAGAAAGTTGAAGATAATCAAAGAAAGAACGGACAACTTTCTAAAATTGAATGTGGGACACATGTTGCAATAAACCGCTAACGAAATTGAGCAACTTATGCCTCCATAACACCAGCATCTCACCTCTGATGAAAAATTCTATCAAAAGGATCCGGTATCTGATAAAATCAAAGGTGCAACACGTGGAATGCTTTCCACCTTCTATAAGAGATGAAAATTCTCAGAAGCCTTGCCCACTAAAGAGCCATAACAATTCAATGGTATGGTTGAGCAAACCAGCAAGTCTTCTATCCCTACTATATACATGGTTAACTTTGGATGGGAGGGGCATGGGTCAAGAACTACAAAACACATATCAGCTCTGCGGAGCTGCGCCCACAGTGAGTTGGAGAGTGCTGACGGCAAAAAAATCGACTTCGGTTTTAGAACAGCCCTAAGAAGAGGAAGAAATGGGTCAAGGTGGGCACCGAGTTGGTAATTCGAATATGGAAGAACTGCCCGCGGCAGACGGAGCCTTCTCTAAACGGACTATGC